GAGGCGTTGTTGCTGCAGCAGCATTTTTGGTAATGAGTTGGCACTGCCGGAATTTAGCCATTGCACATTATTTTTTCAAATTCCTTAGTCAGTCTTCAATTCTTATTGTAATTTATTCCAAGCGTCAACGACCACGATAACGAATATAGGTATTTGTGAAGCAGATTAGCTGCATTCCGGATATCAGGTTCATTTCCATCTAAATCTGAAAAATTCTGTTGTAGTTTTGTAAGACCACTCAATTATTCACGCTCTAAAAACAAACTGTAGCTTCAAGACGCATTTATCCTCATTCTCTCACTTGTTTTGCAATATTTTTTTTATTGGTTTTTTTGAGAACAAATTTATTTAGAAAAGTATGCTATTGATATTTAAGTACCTATATTACAATAACTTACTATGTCAAATATTACCAGTGCAGGAATAAGAGCAAAAAACCTTGACCAGCAAAACAATAAGTATTAAGCCAAAAAGCAACAAAATAAAGGGAAAAGGGAGCTATATTAAGTAAAATAAAACAACTCTAAGAAGCTAAGTTAAGTGAATGTGGACTAGCCGGAGGAGCAAAAAGTATCTTCTTCAATGTAGATTTAACTAAACACCACCAACTCCTTTACAAGACAGCGAGAGAAATAAAGAAACAAAAACACTGCAAGGCAGTATTTGTGGCTAATGGGAAAATTTACCTAAAAAAAGGAGATGACAAACCAGCAAAGGATTAGGAGTAAGATGGATCTCATATATAAAACAATAAGAGGAAAAAACTCTAAAATGTGATACGTATAGACTAAATAATACCCATAGCAAGCAATGATTTCTCGAAGGCATTCGACAGAGGGAATCACTCAGTCTTACTGTCAAAAATGTTGAATATGGGATTACATCGTTCACTGTTATTATGGTTAGGGAGTTTTCTTTCAGAGCGCACACAAAGATTCAAAATTAATCAATATTTATCAGCTAGAATTGAAGTAACATCGGGTGTTCCACAAGGTGGACACCTATCACCAGTATTGTTTAACTGTTTTGTTAATGATATAAATAATTGTTTTGTAGATAGTAAGTTTTTATTGTATGCAGATGACTTGAAGGTATGCAAAACTATATCTAATTCCGATGACTGCTATCTGCTGTGATGTAATTTGTTTCAAGTCTCTTTATTGTTCTGTTATCAGATCGTCACTAGAATATGGTTGTAATGTTTGGTCACCTCACTATTTATGTTACAAAGAGCAAATTGAGAAAGTTCAAAAAAAGTTCCCCAGGTTTATTGCATATAAGCTAGGTATTCCATCAGATGAAATAAACTATGCGGACATCTTGACTTTGTTGCGGTTGCCATCTTTAGAAAATAGGAGAATTTATTTAGACTCAAGTATCTTGTATAAAATTGTTACTGATCAATTGAAAACACCAGATTTGCTTAGTAGAATTAATTTTCTTGGTCCTCTAAGATACACGAGGTCTCAAGATCTATTTTATATAGAATTTCATGCTACCAATTATGCCATGAATAGGCCAATCCAAAGAATGTGTAGAAGCGCAAATACTCTCTGTGATCTAAACAGCAATTTTGATTTTTTTTGTTCCTAGTTTATTAACTTTTAAGTATAGTATTACCTTGCATTTTTTGGGACTTACACCTCAATTGAAATTAATACCCGAGTTAATACCAGAAGTTTCTTGATTTTGATACTTTTTAATATAGGTTAATAATTTTAAGTATAGGTTAAGGAAACAAATGCTCGTGTACTAGTCCTTAAGTATCTCTGTAAATGGCCAGTCTGTAAATATAAATTTATTTATTTATTTATAACATTGTAGAGGAACTAAATATACATCAATATTAGAAACTTACGAACTAAATTGAATGATCTAAACGATGTACAGTGGAAATCATTGCAATTGGCACACACTATGTAAATATCCCTCGTAATGTGTCAAATCTGACACACAGTAATAGCAAAATGCTGCACTAAATAGATTTATTGGTTTGAATTTTGACTTAATACGGGGGATTTTAAAGAGTGTCTGCCAATTGCAATGATTCCGACTGTACATCTTTCAAGCAACAAAAACATACATAAAACAGTGCTAAGTGAAAAATCGATATATACAAATGGAAAAGATTACTGTAATATCCCTACATATTCAGCTGTACATGACTGCCGTGATACCAGGGAGGAGGCATGTCTATTATTATTATTATTATCTTGTGACCTAGTAACTATTGTGTGTGGATATCCCTGGAATAAGTAAATGCGATATTTGAATTTTGTTTTTCATTTTATATACTGGGTGGGCCAATGAAAACGAAACAAGGCCGATAACTCGTGTTCATCGTTGATTGAAAAAAATCCCTCGGACCCGTCGATTTTTATTCGGAGGGGGAAATCTTTTGCACATATTTTCAATATTGTCACTTCAACCCTCTCGCGGGGGTTAGCTTCAACCCTTAAATCTAAAATGGCATTAGGGGTCGAGTGACACCTCATTTCAAAGATCATCGAATTCTCTTTTTAACGGTGCCTAGTTTTTTGAATTTCCTAAGGTTTTTTTTTTCGAAAAGATATCTAAAATTAGAATGTATTTAGTTAAATTTTATTGAGTGATTAAAAAAACCTAGACTTAAACCTTGTGATTTCAAGTTGGATAAGACACAACTTAAAAAAAAAAACACATAAAATCACTTGTTAAATAGAAATTGTTAAAATTACAAAATTGATAGTGCTTAAAATGACTAGTACCGTCTATTTTTGAATGTGTTCTCTCGAAAACCACTGCATCAAATTCAAAAAAATAGGCACCGTTGAAAAGAGAATTTGATGACCTTTGAAATGAGGTATCACTTGACCTTGACCACTAATACCATTTGAGATTTTAGGGTTGGAGCTTACCCCCGCAAGAGGGTTGAAGTGACAACACTGAAAATATCTGCAAAAGATTTCCCCCTCCGAATAAAAATCGACGGGTCCGAGCGATTTTTTTCAATGAACGATGAATACGAGATATCGGCCTTGTTTCGTTTTCATTGGCCCACCCGTATAAGTTCACATTGCTCTAGCTGCAATACTTTTGTCAAGTTGCCAGAACCTCTAGTAACGGTAGAGTACAATACAGTTGTATGTCTATTTATAAAGTTAATATTTAATAATATTCAAAAACCAATTAACTATTTATGTGTTTGGCATGTAATAAATTTTCTTCAAATAGAACTCAAGTGTCTCAATTCATATAGACTCTTTTTAGAGGCAAACCGTATAATTGAAAGCTACCTACTCTAGATCTATTTTTAGTGAGATATATCATTTGTTCACATTTACGAATAAACTATTTGCCGAGTAAAAACATCCTGAAGGTTCTGACAGTCTTAACAGATCATCCGCATAAAGTAGAAAGTTTGTACTGTGAAAACATTTACCAATATCATTTATATAAATAATGAAAAAAGGGGCCCCAAATGGAATTTCTGGAACTGATTTGACTAAGTTTGTTCCCGAACTAATTCCATTGACGCAAACTTTTTTCAAAATAATCCTTTATTATTTCTTTACAAAAGACTTTGAAACTTCTATCAGATAAATACGACTTGACCCATTCTGAAAGAGTTCCTTACACTCTGACGGTCAATAGTTTATTAAGCAATATCAAATGACCTACCTTATCAAAAGCCTTGTTGAAGTCGGTGTAAATGTTGTCAGAAATTCAGTGTAAAGAAGCAGGTTACTTTCAATACCTAATTGAAAATATACCTACTTGAAATTCAATTTGTCAAAAGCACAAAGTTTAGTTGTAGGGCGATAATGCGTGACCAGGTTTTTTTGATCGCTCAGATAGGTAAGACGCTGGGAAGCTTCTAGATTTCTGGAAAAATACCCTTAGAAAGAAATGATGAACAGGAATAAAAAATAAGAGAGACGAATACAATTTCTTGAAAATCTATCATATCATCTCTGTTATTTGACAATTTGACTAACTTCGGGGGGAAGGTAAATTTGACAACGTCGCACTCGTATTATTTATAACAATACTAATTTTTTTTTGTATTTTCAAACAATCATATTTTGAAAACGCCTGAATAAAATACCACATGCATCAAGAAACCAGAAAAAAAAACTTTATTGTGGCAACAAGGCAACAAAACTGTACCTGTCAGAATTTGATATTTTTAAAAATATTTTCGACCTTATGATAACAAATTCTGATTATTTAGGAGCATTGAGCATTTACATTTACAACTATTTGATAAATTTTAAAATCACCTGGGAGAGCCCTGTTCCGAAGAACCTATCGCTAGAATATAATATTTAGTAAAAATTGTTTTACAATTTACTATCTGGTTAGTTCATTTGATTGAAGTATGAAGTATATCTTTTTGTATTGCAAATACGTTGTTAACATCCACTAAATTATTCCGAAAAACAAGGCCATATTTTACCCTAAGAATAAATAAATCCATGACATGTTGTGCCTAATTGCCGCCTCAACTCCCACAGTCGTCGACACTATACGCAAGCAGTAGGTACTTTTTGTCGCATTTCACACGTGACGACTTCTGTCTATATTTATATCCAATTACTTTAGACCCTCATCGACAGTATTTCTCCACTATTGTGAAAATTGAAAATTTTATTACCTCTAACACTGATCCAAAAATACAATATTTTATAGCTTCGACTGGTTAACAGTAATTGAAAAGTTAATTGGCGTGATATTTGAAAATTTATAGGCTAATAACACTGTTTACTCCAACAAGCGGATATAGGGTTTACATATTTAGATGCAAGATTATAAAATATTTCTATTTGAATTGAAACTTGAAATAAAAAACAACTCTTACTTTTGGCTGGCCAAACTGGACAGAGAATAATACCTATTTTTACCAGCTTAATACAATTCTAATGAGCTACCAAAACTAGCAAAATCTTAAATCTTGAGCCACACTTAATGCTCCTCTCTTTTCCTCAATTAAATTCATATGAATTTTTCAGCTTTTGGTAATGGCAAAGACTCCGGAAATTAAATATCAGCTGCAGTCATATGAGCCAGATTTATCTGTCCCTACTGAAGTCAACATTCAAAATATAATTTCCGGTGTTGAAAACGACATGAAGACTCAATATCAACAAGCTTTAATCAATTTTCTTGTGAAGGAGCATCAAAAATTTGATATTGAGGAATTAAAGGGTAAGTTGGAGTTTGTATCAATTGATCAAAAGGAGCTCTTGTTACTCCTTTTATTTTTTTATTATATATTTGCAAACAGTCATTTTGTTCCTATCCGTTTCTTAGTTGGAGACACGAGAGAAAAGCTATGGAAAACTTTAATAAAATTAGCCAATAAAACTGATGATAATGATGATTTAGCTGTTATATTCACAGTATTTCGTATAATCAGTCGAGATAAAGCGTCTGTAAATAAACTTGTAACAAAAGAATGGATGGATTTATTGATACGTCACATTGGTAATATAATTCTTTAACATTTTCCAAGCAGAAATGCTTAATCAATATTTTATTAGGTCTAAACGATACAAAATTTGACTATTCTGATGATACCCTATGTAAGATTGAAGAAGGTCAGAAAGTGCTGTGGAATACTTTATTTAATAGCAAGGATTTGGTAGAAGCATCCATCAAAAATGGTTTATTGGATAAACTTATTGGCAGGATAAGCTTATATGATAAAGTCCATGTTCCAGACTCTATCAAATTTTACGACACTAAATTTGTGTTTTATCTCACAGCACTTTCGAAAAATGTAAGAGAAATAATTGTAGATGCAGATGGTCTACAGCTATTTATTAATGCATTGAAAGTTATTCTGAAAGAGGCTGGCGAAACTCCTGCTAAGCTTGATGACCAAAAAGCCGACATTGCTTCCGAAACACTTAAAGCGTTATTTAATATTACTCTAATCAGTTCTTTTGGAGAAAAACAAGAGGCTCAATCTAGAGAATTAGTTGGAATATTAAGAAACTACCTTATGGCTTCCACAATAAATTTAGAAAAAACCTGGCAGCTTAGAAATGACATTGTGAATTTATTAACAAATATTCCAGCAACTTATTATACAGAATTGCTTATGCCTGTAGATGAATCAACACCACTCCCAAAGAGTTTAAGATTCGAAAATCAAAATATGACAGTTATTTATGAAATATTGATGTTTTTGGAGGCAAAATTTAATGATAAAAGCTCTATTGGAAATCAGCTAGAAATTTATTCACCAATACTGAGTGTGCTGTACAAAGCTGTCACAGCACACAGATCTATTAGGAAATACTTGCGATTGCACATATTGCCACCCTTGAAAGACAATATGGATAAGCGTCCCGAAGAAATGAATACTTTGAGAGGCCACCTCTGCAAATTATTAACGACCCCAATAACGCAAATTAGAGATTTAGTGGCAGAACTGTTATTTGTTTTGTGCAAATGTAATGCTTCAAGGATGATTAAGTATACAGGATATGGCAATGCTGCTGGACTATTTGCACAAAGAGGACTATTGGGCGGGAAAAAAGATGCAGCTGAGGCTGAGTTTAGTTCTGAGAGCGAGTGCAGTGAAACTGAAGAATATTCAGGAAAAAAGCACCTAATTAATCCAGTTATGGGATGCGTTGAAAAACCTCATACAAATCCTATGGCAGGAATGACAGAGGAACAAAAGGAATATGAAGCTATGCAACTTCTGGACAAAATTAACAGTTTAGCAAATTCTGGTGTAATACAACCCTGTAGGATTGGGTCTGACGGGAAACCTCATCCGATTGTGCATGTGCTTCAGTTGCAAGAGCGTCTTAAGCTCCAACACATTCATAGTAATCATTCTGATAGTGAGTAATAATTAAATTTCAGGATTTTTGATACAGGTACCCATGCCCAAATGACGAAGGTAAGAAAATAGGCATGGCATAAATTTATTTCAAAAATAATACCTACCCTATAAAATATCGTTTGTGATTTCTCAGGATATAGTGTTTTAGGTTTTAGTAATAAGCATGCATAATTGAAAGGTCTGGGTGTAAAACCTGGTTAAGTGACGAACTGGCCGTTGTGAAATTTGGTTAATCGATCTGTCACATACTTTGGGCCCTGAACTTACGAAGTTCTAGTTTATGCAAATAAAATTCAATAGGTACAGATAGGTATACCAAAAACTTTTGAGGATTGTAATTCTGATTTTACACACAACCATGAATTAGAATTGGTGGAATACGCAGAAATTTTGAAAAATCTAGTTTTAGGCCCGTCGCACACAGAGCCACTGGTAAGAAACTGAAATTAAACTATAATCACTTGACAGTCTTTTGCAAGTCCACGGCATGTGTATTCAAATCGAATGTCGTACACGGCGCAACTGATCGCCGATCCTTACGCTACTATGGTGAGTGATAAATTGCCAAAAGACTCGAACTGTTGGTCGCGCGAGGATTTGTTGGAGACTTTTTTGGAATTTTTGTGGTAAAATGAGGAAAAACGAGATGAATGACCAAGCTTTTGCATCCACTACTCTGAACGTTTATTTTCGATCCTCGTCCCATCTCCTCGTATACGAGAATTGAGTATCCAACTAATTTGTAACTGGCGTCTCTACTCAGTTTCGTCTTTTATGGGTAGCTTTATGTGCGACAGGCCTTACACGCGAACAGTCATTGGAAAAATATGTTCCAGGAAAATTATTATGAATTCATTTGTTTATTGAGTGGAAAGGCTTACTTAAGCTTTTGATAAGGGCCTTGAATCTTGCTTAGAGAAAGTAGTGACCTTTTAGTATTTATCACAGATCAGACAGGGCAAAACATCTAATTCACAGACTGATATTTTTTGTAATGCCCAATACTCACCCATCTATTGGCCAGTGGTGGGGTGGTGAGTTGTGGGAAAAAAGGATTACACACTATATGCATATCAATACTTTATATACTCGGAACACTCAGACCCGTCGCACACGGAGCCACTGGTATGAAACTGAAATTGGACTAAACTACTGCATGTGTATATAAATCGAATGTCGTACACGGCGCTGTTAGTCGCCGACCCGTACGCTACTGTTTAATGATAAATTGCCAAGAGACGCAAACTGTTCGTCGCGTGAGTTTGTTGGAGATTTTTTTCACAATTTATGTAGTGAAATGACGAAATACGAAATGAATGACCAAGCTTGCATACACTTCACTGAACAAACGCGTTTATTTTCGATCCTCGTCCCGTTCCCTCATGTACGAGAATTGAGTATCCAACTAATTTGTAACTGGCGTCTCTACTCAGTTTCGTCTTTTATGGGTAGCTCCATGGGCGACAGGCCTTATTCTTGTCTGTCTGTATCTAACTCAAATAAAATATTTTCACTAAAACTCACTTCACAAACAGTAACAACTTTTATCACGGGTGGTCTACTAAGAGAGACCGACTGTGTCGTCAAGTACCTACACGTCGAAAAGTTCCTCCATCTAAACACGCATTCCCAGACAATCCACGCCAAGATTGAAGATGAAGCCCTTGGCGTATAAGCTCTGAGAAACAGTATTCCTAAAATTCTGATGAGCAGGCTTATCCGGCTGATGCTGACCGAGGTGGACGACGTGCTAAGTTATGTGATGCAATCTTCACCGAATTCACCTATGGCCAGTCTTCGATAGGATGCATAACTTGGCATCCCCCCGTCCAGTACTCGCTGGAGAAACTCAAACCGGCCTACAGCGCCTTGAAAGTTAAGCTTCTAGGTGATATTTTTTGCCAGGTTAATGTGAATTCCTTTGAGTTCAAAAATGGCTTGAGGTCAGAATCTTGTAATTGCGGTCACTTCTAAATTGTTCGGAACTCGATTCTTGATCCGTATCACATCGGAGGCTTCTGATAGGAACTCCTTTACGCTGTTGTATTCAGAGGCAGTGCTTGCATTGAGATGGGCATATTTGCCTGGATAAGGCATCTACGTTAATATTCAGTTTACCAGAACGATGTTTAATTTGAAAATTGTACTGATGTAACTTCTCCAGCCATCTTGCTACCTGTCCTTCTAGTTGTTTCATGTTTGGAAGCCATTTAAGCGATGAATGGTCTGTTCTAATGAGAAATCGTCTATTGTATGTACAAAGATCAAGGAAACTTCTGAGTTCATGCTTGTCCCGTGGTCGAACAAATGGCTTATATTTTCCTCTCGTCAGTATAAATTCCTTTGTATGAAACTGTGTAGCCAAGAAAATCAACGCACTGTTGAAAGAGTGAACATTTCTTGTCATTTAATTGGAGGTTCACCTCACGGATACGAGTAAATACTTCTTGTAATTTTCGTAGGTGCTCATCGAAAGTTTTTCCCATCAGAAGCATACGTTCCACGTAAGTCCTCGTAGTACGATTTCCATCAACTTCTCAAAAGTAGCGGGGGCGTTACAGAGTCCCATAGGCATTACCTTGAATTGATAAAGACCACTTCCAGTGGAGAACGCTGTCTTCTCTTTGTCTTTTTCGTCAATGCCCATCTGCCAGTATCAGCTTTCTAAATCCAAAATAGAAAACAGATTTGAGTCTGCCCATGTCGTGGGTATCGTCAATTCTGGGTAATGGGTAACTTTCTTTCTTAGTGACATCGTTAGGCTTTCTGTAATCGACGCAAAATCTGGTAGATCCATTTTTCTCTGTAACTAGTACAATTGGCGATGACCATGGACTTGAAGACTCTGCTCACTCTGGAAGCATACTGTCTGGTGAGCTTGTTTTTCGATGTCAAATCCGGTAATTAAGTCACTATTTCAGTTCTATAAAAGTTGACTGATTGTTCCCACTAATTAGCTGAAATGAATGCACCAATTGTCTTGCAAATTATTTCACTAATTAGCTCAAACTAGCCCAGTAGTTATCTTGCCAATTATTTCACTATTCAGCTCAAATGCATGCACTATCAATTGTCTTGCCCTTCAGTCTTATTCTTCAGACTGCATTACCTGACAGTTTATCAGAAGGTGAATAAACTGGGCGTTAACAAAGAGGTTTTCTAACAACTTTTTTTGGTACTACACACTGTCTAGAACTTTTTAAAAATTTATTTTCAAAAATCGGAAGATTATTTCAATATGGCAATGTGAGTGGAAGGAGTAGGTAAACCTCTGATGGAGATCTTGCCTAAGCCCAATGTTGTTTATTGTAGCGTCTATCTGTGATAATAGGTTATTGTCATAGTGGTAAACGTAATTTGCCACACGAGGCAATCTGGTTACCTGCCAATAGGCCTCTTGCAGACATTTTTATTTTTGCCTGAAGACGTTTAAAATATAATTTATATTACACCACAACAATATTTTTTTTTCTAAAGGTGCATCCAGACCGGTGCAACAAACAAGCGTCCTCTAAATTTGACATCACAGGAAAAGTTACGCCATTAGTTGTGAGTGACGTAACGAGGTACGATGTGTCGACCGCTGACATTTTATATTGCTTTCTGTCATATTTATAAACGAACAAAAGTATGGTATGTAGTCCCGTTTTCAAAAATTAATATAAAAAAAAAGTAGCGAACGCAGAAAAAAAAGAAAAACATATTAAGTATAAGCAAGCAAAATACTACATATTAGGCAAAAAAAAATAATTCGGAAACATGCCTATTGTCAACATTCATAGAGAAATTTAAATACTTAGGTAATGTCTTCAAAAGTAAAAAAGGTTTTCTAATGTGATATCTTCAGACTTGCGTCCCATGGCTATTATAGCCAGGTGTTTTGTTGCTTTTTTTTCAATAGGTGATAGCTTCAGCTTATCAAATGTCATTTCCCGTCGACCGTTTATTAACGTGCTTGATTAATGTATACAAAATCGTGCACGATTTTAGTACGCATGTCGAATTTCAACATACATACCATTAATATTACGAGGCAATTATACTCATTTTTCCACGGCAAAATTTTGTTACTAGTAACTTATCTTGTAATGACCAATAATAATATCACCGTTTATCAACGCGCTCGCTACACTAACGCGTTAAAATATCTCGATTATTAATCACTTTCAGTGTACCTACCTACACGTGTTTTTTAAATGGGTAACTATTTCCTGGTTCGATACAATGACGATAAACAATTTTTATCCAAAAATCACGAAAAAAACTCTGTCAACAAATTTAAGGTTGATAGAATGTCGAATCAGAATATTACCTGGTGACGTCACCGTGGCCTAAACTCAGTTTTTGGCTGAATATCAGCCAGTTTGAATTTTGATTAAGTATTTATTATTTCACATGTTTGAAAAAAATATTAGAGGGATGTAAGTCCAATGGTCATTTTAATTTAATTAAAAAAATATCTGCAGAGGGCCTATTGATTATTGCTCTGAGGTTTTTTCAAAACTTCAAGCTTTAAGGAGCCGGAAGTTTTTTTTTAACCCTAAGTAGGTATATGTGAGTTGAACGTTTGGAAGCAACATATGAACAGGATAAGATCATTCCAATTTCGCACTGTGAGTGGAGGGAGGTAATCCTCCAATAGAGATCTTACAGACACATAATTGTTGTGTTCTAGCACCCCACATATATCTACTTTTATCACTCAACAGGTTTTACCACCGACTGACACATAAGTCATCTTTTCATAAGATGTTTTAAACAATTCTGTGTTTAATAATAGGGATCAAAAATTTAGGAGTATAAGTATTTATTATTTATTAAAATATTAAATTTTAGTGGTTATAAATTTAAGGTTTTGTGCTTTCCTTTTCTATTATCAAATGCATTATAGTAAGGCGGATAGAAAAACTGTTCTAAGTTCATACTTCCTTGTTTCAGCTTTCTCTTGGTTCCCAGACAAATAATTTCCAGTAGAAATTACAAAACGTAATTTGCGAC